AGTCTTAATTAATAAAATTGCGTTATTTATATTTTTTTCATCTTCCCAAAATGCAAATATTATTATAATTTTAGTATTGTGTATTTGTATTGTAGTGTATTTAATTTTAAACATAATACACATAAATCTTGTTGAAGAAAAATAGCATCGTCATATCTAAAATGACCTTTAACCTTAAGAAATCTACTTTTTAGTTGGAACATTAATCATTCAGCACACGTAAGAATAATCAACTACGTGGCGTTTAAAGTGTATTTGAGGAAGAAAAATCAATAGTTTTTAATATTTTGAGGAAGAACATTGCATTATAAGGACTTAATGTTTGAGACAACTGATGGCACGATAAGATTACAAGGCAATAACATGGCATATAGGCTGACGTTTTCAGTGCACAAGTATTTTGTTTGCGCTCTTTATTTTACAAATGTGTGTGTCATTAATATTTTGCGGGACTCTGGGGGCATAACTGCCATATTTTAGGATTTTTTTACCAAAACGGCGACCCTAAAGAGGCTTACGTTCAAACTGCAAACAGAATGCCGTATGCAAAAGACGAAGCTTATCCTCATACGAAACACAAATTCAGCCAACCTGCACGTTCATTTTTCGTTTGAAAGATATTAAGTTTAAATAATACGCAGATCAAATTATTTATATTGACATTTTAGTCGCTTTCATACATCTTTTACCTTTGTGCAGGGTTTGTAAATGTATACATCGGTGACAAAATAATATCTACTTTTTTCACTTTCAAAAAAGTCCGCCCATTCGCAAACTTCATAACTCAAAATCCGCTTTCAGCTTTTGCGCATTTGCATACACTACACACACATTAGGCAGATCGGGGCCTAGCGGCGGGGTGAGGGATGGGCGATGTATAGCGAGGCGGTGGGGAGGGATTGGGGTAAGAGGGAACAGGGGAGGGAGAGAGGGCGGGAAGAGGGAATCGAAGGGGAACAGGAAGAGGTGTGTAGGTATGGGAAAATCCGGGTTCGTAGGAAGTGGAGTGGCCAGGGGTGGATGTTGGGGACGAAGGGGAAGTCAGGGTGGGACGTTTTGACGGAGGCGGGGGCGGGGGCGGTGCGCGGGTGAGCGTCGTGGGGAGGCGGAAAGAGAAGCGGGCGCAGCGGGCGCTGGGAGTGGTTCGGATGTTGGACGGACGCAGACTGGCGAGGGGAAGCAGGATCGCGACAGGTAATGGCGCGAGTGGGGTAGCGTGAGTGGTGGCAGACCAGCGGGTCAGCCCGGTGGTGGGTGTAGATTGCGAGCAAAGTTAAAATAGTTACACGGGCGAGGTATGGAAAGCAAGTGGCCATTTGACATACGCCATGCAAATAAGGGCGCGCGCCGCGCCAGCGCCGGCCAGAACCGCATGCTAGCGCAGCAGGAGGCCAGTCTGCAGCGGGGCGGGGCGGGGCTGGGGGGGGGCCGGGGAGGGGCGGGGGGGGGCAGCGGGCGGGGCGGGCGGGGGCCGGCGGGCGGGGCGCGGGCGGGGTGAGGCGAGCGGGGCGCGGCGGGGCGGGGCGGGGCGGAGCGGAGCGGAGCGGAGCGGTGCGGGGCGGGGTTATGTGGGCGCGCGTGGCGTCTACCAGCGAGAAGGACAGATTGACAGCTGGAGTTGATCAGAGTGCCATGTTTTAATCCCCACATCTCGCCGCGTTGCCCTCCTGCACAGATGGATTCCACGCTCAGCACTGACACTTCGGCCACCGACGACACGGAACAAAAAATTATGGCATTTTCAAACACTTTATTTACATTTAATATGGTTATTTTTCTAAATATTTATTTTTCACATTCTCCTTGCATTTCTGGTAGGTTTTTATGATTAATTTTCCGCCGTGTTGTTTCATGACAGTGCCATTAGTTATTTTTCGAAACTTTATTCATCAATATGTAACTGTAAATAATTTTCATTGTGAATAATGATGCCTTAACCCAATAAAGGCACTCCAAAAATGATTCTAAATGATATAATCGTGAGCTCATTGACTAGGGAATTCTTTCGCGCTACAAGTTCTAAAGATTGTAAATAAAAGTTAATTTACTAAACAATAATTACATCACCAACCCCCGCCTCTAACAACGTCCAACGTTTCTCGCTGCAAGGCAAGTTATGATGTGCCTTGGAGTCAAAAAAAAATTAATACACAGTGATACCATAATTATGATATTATAGTATTGACGTGTAATGTACTCCGGGACTGACCGAGAGGTCCTGAGTTTCGAGTCCCGACATTACATTTAGAAAAGATTTATAACTAATTCTGCAATTCAGTTTGAGAACTTGGTGAAAGAATACACTAACTTAACAATACAGAACTTCACAACCTTACAAAATTTATAAACTTTACAAACTAACGTGAACATTTCTCCGTGCAAGCTTTGTCCAAGCAAGCTCCGTCCACCTCACCTCACCACACTTCACTTCACTTCACTTCACAGCACTGCGGATCACTGAGGTGTTATGTCTTTCTTACACATTCGTTTCCCTCAATTCCACACCGAAACTGCACTGCACGCCACGGCATATAATAATAATAATAATAATAATAATAATAATAATAATAATAATGATAATAATAATGATAATAATAATAATGATAATAATAATGATAATAATAATAATGATAATAATTATGATAATAATATTAATAATAATAATAATAATATAATTTACTATACCTACTAGACTAGTAATTTAATAATATTAAACCTAATATATTATACTAGCTTTTCAGCTAGGCCAAATTCAGTCGCTGTCTGAAGGAAAATGTTAGCGGCCGTCTGCTCTGTTCGGTAGTTTTCCGTGGTTTCCCCGATCAACACCAGGCGAATGCCGGAGCAGTACCCTTTCAAGCGGGCTACGGAGCGCGCGCGATCATTCCTGCCTCTTCCTTGCCTTGTCCTCTCCCCTTACACACACACTTACATGCACTACGCTAACACGTGCCGGGAGGCCCTTAGAGCCTCTCCCTACTAGGGCCGTGCCCTGTTGGTGGGAGATACCTGGTTGTGAAAAACCCTGCTACCTAATGCTGGATCCGCGCCGGTTCTCGCCTTCCAGCGGGACAAGATCAACGCCACATCCAGAGCAAAGATCGTCCACTACATGTACGGGACTGACTTGGTTGGCACTTGATGCGCCCGAAATCACTAGTATTCAGTCAATCAATAAATCGATCTCATCATTTATCAACAAATCGTATAAGTGTCTTCAAATTTTACAAAGCAGTTCACATTTTCCTGTGCATTACAATGAAGTCCTTGCTCACGCTTGCATGAAAAAGTTGGTTATAAACCGAAGTTATAAGCGAGAATACATCATGCATAAATATTTTATTCGTTTCATTCAGGCATTTGTGAAAGCAGAGAATTTGGAAAGTATTAAAAGTAATACTTTAATAAAAATAAAACATTCATAGGGGTTTAGTAATAGTTTACTTTTTAAGTTGGTAATAGTTATTGAAAAAAATCAAATTCTATAAATCTAAGAAAAGGTAGTTTTCATTTTTCTTTGAAATACAAATTATACTAAATTACCAAAGTCCACGTGGCTCCGTCAAATACACGAATCATAAAATTTTGCTGTACATTTTGAAACTTGGAGAGCGATTCCTTGGGGGCGTAGAGCGCCAAGGAGTTGGAGGCAAATACGACAGGCGCGTGCAGGGGCCATAACGCACGACGTCGAAGAGTGGTCGGAGCTCCTGCCGCCAGGGGCGCCCCGGACGCGTCGAAGCCTTTTTTCCCGCGCATTGTTCGTGGTGGGACGGACGGACGGTCGGTCGGAGGGACAGGTTGGCGGGGCCTCATTACAATGACAATGTGCCGGCGCCACAAAGCGGCGCTGGTGACACGTGTTGGACCCCGACGGCTCGCGCGCGCTGCGTGATGAAAGTCACGCTCTAGCACGTGCTGTGGTCCCGCGCTTTGCACCTGCAACATTTGCTGTGTTTACGAGCGCAAAGCATCCCAAGGCGCCGAAGACCACGGCTTTTGTGCTCCGAGGCTGGCGACGGAGTGGGAGAATCTCTTTGGGATTATTGGATGAATAAATCACATCATATAGCTTCGGTACTTTCTTTGCAAAGCCCGTTGCAGGAACAGAGCCCGTTCTGGATTCACCGCGTTTTGATGAAAATTCAAATCCTAAGATCAACATATTCTAAGTAAATTGAATTATAGGCTAAAAATGATCAATGCACAATATTTTTTTCTGATACTATCAAGAAAATTATCTTGACAGAACCGTCGCGAACGGAAACTAAGACGAGTATGAACTAGAAATAGTGAACTTTAAGTTACTGAATGTTGAATGTTAAAAAGTGTAAATTCTTCTCACAAATCCACTGATAAAAAGATAAAAGAGAAGGAAAATTATAAATAGATGTTCATGTATGATTTGGGGGGGGGGTATCATCAGCTACACGTAGGACTTATTTCTTTGGAATCTTACTAATCTTTTTTTCATTAATAAACCTGATAATTAAAGTTAGACTGAGTAAAGTTTTTTTCCATAAAACGGCATGTCATTATTAATTCTATTGTTGTCTTTGTGCCTTAATTTCGAGATCATTAAGCTATGAAGAATTATTTCTAAATCAGATCAAAGCGCATTGATCACCTACATTTGTTTTACGAGATTAATGTCAGTGTTTGAGTGATATGTGTAATGAAGATTTATAATATGGTTTCATAAGAACACTAAACCAGTAAACTTTAACAGTTAAATATTACACCGAAGTGAAGTAGTAGGCTTCTGCAGCCAGACACTTTTGAGTGCTCTAGACTGTCCTCATTAAAGACTGCGTAGCTGTCTTAGGAAGGCCACGACAAGATGGACGAAACGTCGGTAACACAGTCTTTGACGCGGCGTCCCCGGGACAGCCAAGAGCAGTCATTTCATAGAAGCGTTATGCCATTGCCATCTTTGTAACTGTGTCCGTTCTTTGCAGTTGCTCCTGAAATCGAAGTGGAGAAGTCCTGGGTTCATTCAGGGGAAGGCTACGAGGCGCAGTTGGTGTGCATCGTGCACGCTGAGCCACCGGCAGAGGTGAGTTAATCCCGTTTTCTAAATAAATTATTTTATGCAGTTTCATTTGTATGACTTGTCCATTATTAACTGCTACTGTATGACTAACCGAAGGGAAAGGGGTTCTTGCTATCATGTATATTTTCTCTACCTTTCAGCAAATCAAATTTATTCAATGTTTGTGTTATACCTCAGAACATTAAACTGAGTCAACAAATATTGTCTACAAATAATATATTTAAAGTAAAAATAATTACTACAAACAACCCACTTGAATGGAAAATAATTCCTGTGCCTTGATTTTCAACATGAACTTCAAAGAGCATAAAACAATGGCGTCATATTTATTACACAGAAATTAATTAACAATTAATAAACAATGAAGAGATAATGGTCCAGTTTTATAACCTAATATTAATTTTTTCATTGAAATTTGCAATACAAACTGCATTGAGTGCATCATATCATATATAAGTTATGGAAAGAAAATTAATAATTTCATTACACGTTGCCTCTTTCTATTTATATCTGTTTGAAATAAGACATTAAATATAATGCTGAGTCGTATTCCATAGCGTAATTTGGATTATTCATATCTCTGAACAGAATGAACGGCTTTTTGTAAGTTAATCAGTTATTGCTAACGGATGGGGTAGTTTCGTTGGTCTGCGAACTACTCGCGTATAATACCAAACCCTCGACAAGAATAATCAACAATTAGTTGTACTTCACACTCTAGGTTTTGGATGTATCCTTTCTGTTGCCCCTGATTGCAAGGTCATCACCACCTCGAAATCGAACTAGAGACCCGACCGGACGCGTCTGAAGAAACGAGGGACCCCACGTGATTCACACTGCGCTCATAGCGACTACGGCGGTCACAGGGAAGCCGATTTTGGCTGAAATTTCGGCCAGCCGATGATGGATGAACGAAGCTATTCGCAACAGATCTTCGTCCGACAGCCGATAATTTCGGACGCTATAGAAAGAGGTCATGCGGATTCGGACGTACAAAACCAAACGAAACAGATCTTCGTTCGACAGCCGATGATTTCGGACGCTATAGAAAGAGGTCATGCGGATTCGGACGTACAAAACCAAACGAAACAGATCTTTGTTCGACAGCCGATGATTTCGGACGCTATAGGAAAAGGTCATGCGGATTCGGACGTACAAAACCAAACGAAACAGATCTTTGTTCGACAGCCGATGATTCCGGACGCTATAGGAAAAGGTTGCGCGGATTCACTACGACCGTTTCCGTTTTCCTTTACGTGTTTGAACAAATCCAAAAAGACACAGCTGACCGAAATTTAGGGCGAAATCGAATCCAGTGCGACCGCCACCCATTTGGGGTGGATGTTACCTAGAAATTCCAGCAGGGCCTGGTCAGAATCCTTCGCTCACCGGTCTATGCGAAGAGGTTTGTTCGCCGCTTTTGCCGGGACCGCTCCGGCAGGAAGGAGTCGCCTGCCGCGTAGACGATGGGAGGCGGCGGCGAAAAATTCGCGACAAGCGCAATTCGGGAGCGAGGCGGGGGAGGGGAGCCCCGGGGAAATCTGTGTCGCGGCCGTCGCTCGGGGCGTCGCTCGTTAGTGGAGGGGAGCCGGAAAGGGGAGGGGAGGGCGACGCGAGGGCTCCGTTGGGGCAGAGCGACGGGTTCACCTGCGGAGCGGAGCTCAAGGCGACCGGCGCCTCGCCTCCACGCAGCTGCCGCGCCGCACATTGTTCAACGCAAACGCACTGAGGTCTGAACGTATTCCGGTCCAAGGCGACAGCAAATTTAAAGGCATTATTTATTTGGCTGTCCGGGTGACGGCGCGTCCATGGCAAAGTCGCCATTTTGCGATCTTCCTCAGGGCGTAATGCATTAGAAGGTTGCAGAATGGTGACCGAAATGTCGACACCTTTGCAACGTCACCCTTGGGACAGCCAATTAAATACTGACTCCGGCCGCGGGGGCCTACGCTCTCAAATTGAAAGGTGTTCGATTTTATTTGAGTGGCGGGGTATCGTAGCCCATTAATAAAATATAGAATTCCAATTTTCTTTCAAAAGTCTGTTCAACTACGACCAATCTATATTGTTAACATTTACTATCATTTTTTCTCGAGTTAAAAGTACCTTCATTTATAATTTCCCAAATTTATTTTATCATCTTTGTTACTCAAAAAACTAAAGTGTTCTAATGTACCAAATTTGGAGTTTTTCTGTATATACTAATCCGTAAAATGCAAATAACTCGTAATTATCCTAATTGGCTAAAATGTACATAACTCGCAATTTTTGACTCAGCGACGTAACACTGGCAACGACACTTCAGGTTCACAACGACATTTCACACAGCAGATCGTTGCTGTGTAGAAGGTTGTATGTGGATCATTGTGGTTGTATGTGGTACAATGATACATTTGTTCATGTTGTTGGAAATCTGTGAATTGAACAACATGGGGGAGTAGAAAGAAATAACGCACCCTCCACACCAAGTTTCCCGGTATTCGTAAATATTAATATCTCGATGTTGGTGAATTGGTGCCTTTTTTCTGTATATTTCTTATTCATATTTATGAAGTGCTTGGTGCAGTGCACAAGATAAGTCACATCACACTCGAGATATTAGCAATTACGAATAACGGAAGATTTAATTTGGCTGGTGTGACTTATATTGTCACTGATCCAAATCCTCCGTTGATATGTTTCAAGAACAAAACGCGCTTTGTGATAAGAAAGTGGCACATAGAATGAAGAAACAAAACAACAAAAGAGAATAAAACACGAAAGTGACAAAAATACGATAATATTTCCTTCAAATTATCAAGTCAGTTAACTTACATTTTTGTAGACAACTTTCTTCTCTGTGATCATCGGTTATAGCGGTCAATGCCTCAAGAGCTTCGGAGGAAGTATCACCTCCAAATATGGCATGATGTGCACCGAACAGAAAAGAATAGAATATGTATTGTGATACTTAGGAATACATAGAATATTTCCAGTGGTAGCAATTTGTAGATAGTTGCTACGAATACACCCGACGAACATTATAATATTTACACATAACTTAATACAATTTTACAAAATTAATGTATTAACTTGAGCATACTTAAACTGACCTAATATAAAATAACAATAATACCAAAAAAAAAATTTCAATGTTAACGTATTCTAAAAAAATCCAATTTATTTACTCATATTTTTGACATTTTTGACATTCTGAGGGAATATTTCCAGCCCTGTTGCGGGTAATTCGTTCCAATTTTGTATTGTTCTGTTTTCAAATGAGAACATATCTGTTTTGTGTTTTCTTTGCCGAATTCTGAGGCCATGAAGATGACTAGCTCGGAACGGAACACTCCCTGGTGCTCTCTCCGGCGCGCACTAGCGACGAGCACGTGACGTCCTCACCGCGCAAGCGTCCGCGCCGGCTGCCGTTGCTGCGCATGCATATGGATGCGCTAACGCGATTCCGCGCGCCGATATTGTTTAAAAAGCGAAATTAATAAACGCCCGCTCCGCGACGCGACGAGAGGGCTGGCAAAACGGATTACGCAAGGGCGGCGCCGATATCTGGAACGGGTTACGCCCTCGGCAGCTGGTGCGTTCGAGGCTTCCTGCGAGGAAAGGCGGGGAGAGACGTACTGTGCGGGGGGTTGAGTGACTGAGTTTTCTCAGAAAAAAAAACGCCGTTCTGTTGGCAGCGATTCTGATCGGGTCATAGAGTTGGATACCTGTAGGTGGTGGATTTTCGACTCTACTACATAGCTAGGTCGAATTCAGCTACTGCTTAGAGCATTGTGGCTGCCACGTGCTTTTTCGATGTTTCTCCGAACAATAACACACACACATTTATTCGCGCTACAAAACCACACATGTTGGGAGCGTGTCCCTGTTGGGGCGGTGCTTCTAAAAGGGGAGATATCTGGAATAGGAAATCTCCCACAAGTGAAGTGTAGGTCGACTCCGGATGTTACTTACCAGTAGGGTAGAAATACCGCCATCTCTTAGGATGAATCATTCTCTTAACAAACGTTACTAATTGCAATTGCAGTTGAGATTCCCCTAATCATCAATCAATGTGATAACTAAGTTGTGTTTCTGGTATTTACGAAGGTACCTGATGGCTTCATAATATCCTCTAGAGTTTACCATTTGTAATAAATTCTGTAGACTGTTAATTGTATTGCATTGCATTTGTATGTTGCATTGCATTGTAAGTTGCTTTTATGGGTGTCGAGACGAACTGCAGTTAACAGGTTTCAAAACTCTTCAATGTATTAAAAAACCTTGAAGTGTTTACTGAATCTGAAAAGTAACCTAATCAAGAATAACATCTTGTTGAAACCTATATAACTCGAACACTGATAAATTTTGTAATACACCGCATTTTATGTGGCAGAACGTTTGAATCCACTCGACAAACAACATCTCTATAAGCCTGGTATTTCGAATTTTCTGTTCCTAAAATTTTCCTATTTTCATGGAATTCTGTAAATTATACTTCGATTACAACTATAATAAAACATTAAATAATTTTATTTCGTTGTTCATTCTCAAATAGGTTCATTTGTCAAAAAAATGCATAATGTCATAAGTGTACATTGTTGTTTAGTGTAGTGAGAAAAATGTTACGCAAGCTCGATAATAAGTCATTATTAACTTGGTTGGTTTAGGCAAGAAGTGAAGAAAAATAAATCCCTTCAAGGCTCGACTTTCAAAATAAGGAAGGGTTTATAGCAAGAGGAATCCAATACAAAAGCCCTTGATGTGCAAATAGTTACACCGTTGAAGATATGAAAGAAACACTTTAAAAAAAATACGTTATTAAAATGCATGTATTTTCAAGACGTGAAAAACACAATTAATCCAACGAATTATGCCGTAAGATCTGTTCTTTTCTAGTGACAAACAGATTATAAACAGTCCCGAGTGTTTAGCTTGCAATGAAAGTAGAGTATTTAAAAGGATAATAATATAACCAAAATTACACGATTGGCCAGTTCTCAGAATTGCAGATATGCAGA